ATACTTTTTCCTGGACCTGTAACAGAAAATACAGCACATACTTCTGTTTCTGACCAATGAGAAAGACCAAGTATGAACAACACCCTAAATGAACCAGTGAGCTGTTTCACTGACCAAATAGTATTAAAACGGATAGATCTGTTTGCTGACAAAAGACTTGCCATGAGCACAGTGCCAAGAGTCTGTCCCCCAATATCCCAAAGCACTGTGGGACCCAGAAAATACTCCAAGAAACATAAAAGTTTGCAAAGCACTTAATTTTTCTGGAGAGTTGAGACCTGCCTTTTTCTGAACTGCAGGATATAGATTCTGGTGGAAAACCTCAGTCAGTTCTTTCCATCAGGGAGCTTTCTGTGGGTTTTCCAACAATAGAAGAAAGCTTTCCCCCCAGATTATTACATAAATATATAAAATAGCCAAGATAAATATTTTGAGAAGTCTTACTTCCAGATGAAAATATTTAGCCTTCAGAACTGAGCAGTTGGTGTGTTATCATCACTACTTTCCCGCTATTCATGATCATCATTGGTTTATAGAAACCATCTCTCCCACCTTTCATTTTAAAGTCAGCTTGTCAGCCCTTTCAGTAGGAATGCTCTTTTTTTTTGTACATGCTTGCATAAAGCTTAGCAAAAAGTGATTTTAAACCCTGAATGGGATACATAGCAGCTATGGAACTGTTGGAACAAGTCCAGAGAAGGGCCACGAGAATGATCAGGGGACTGGAGCACCTCCCGTATGAAGACAGGCTGAGGAAGTTGGGGCTGTTCAGCCTGGAGAAGAGAAGGCTGCGTGGAGACCTCATAGCAGCCTTCCAGTATCTGAAGGGGGCCTATAGGGATGCTGGGGAGGGTCTCTCCATTAGAGACTGTAGTGACAGGACAAGGGGTAATGGGTTAAAACTTAAACAGGGGAAGTTTAGATTGGATATAAGGAGGAAATTCTTTCCTGTTAGGGTGATGAGGCACTGGAATGGGTTGCTCAGGGAGGCTGTGAATGCTCCATCCCTGGCAGTGTTCAAGGCCAGGTTGGACGAGGCCTTGGGTGATATGATTTAGCGTAAGGTGTCCCTGCCCACGGCAGGGGGGTTGGAACTAGACGATCTTAAGGTCCTTTCCAACCCTAACAATTCTATGATTCTATGTTCTTCAACAAACTCTCAAAAAACTTACCACTTCTCAACAAAAGATAAAGAAAATGGCTAAAAATTGGCAAAACATAATTCTAATAAAACCTTTTGTGAGAGCAAAATAATCCTTCTTAAATCCATCAGCATATACAACTATTTGAAGCTCTTACTAACATTTATTGTGTTTTTTTAATGTCACAATATTCACGCTGTTTTCTGGTAACCAAACTGTTTATATTTCAGGAAAAAGCCTAATCCAAGCAGGAGAAAAAATGGTATGATATGTCTCTTACAGAATTATGCCAGAAGCAAGTAGCAGTCTGAGACCTATTCTAAAATGAGACATATCTGTACAAAAGTGACATAATATGATAAAAGTAAAATGCAACAAAATATTTAGTGCTCCAGTGACATAGATGATGAAGTCTGAAGTGGACTGATATAAAACATGAAGATTTTTAATATACTCTCAATAGTCTTGTTTTCTTTTTTTTTTTTATTTTATTTTTAATATAAAGCAGTATTTTATGCTTCATCCTGATTACTCAGTTTAATCAATAAACACAGGATTGTGTAGTGCCTTTTGCTAGTCTGATTATGTTAATGACTTCTTAATTCTCTTCCTGAATCACATATCTAAAACAGTGGAGACCTTAAGAAAGGATTTCCCCTTTGCAGAAATCAGGATAACTAGGAACTTTTAAGATTTCAATTTCTAGTTATTTCAGCATTCTGTTCTTAGACATAGTTCTGGCTCTTTCACATGTATGCAGCTCATGATATACAACTGCTGTATATTCATTTGTTTCTTCTAACTTCTCTCCTGCTTGTTGTGCATGGTAATTTCTTTCCCATTCCTGCATGCAATCTCCTCTATAATAACTAATAGGGTCACAATCCCACTGAAGTTTTATAGCACCCAAAGAAAATTACAACCATGACAATTGGCTGTTAGTTCAATTACTAAGAAATCTTAAAGATAATTGGCAACCTTTAAATAGTTAAAAAAATCCCTTGACACTAGGACACTAGCAAAATCTGAGTTTCTACTTGCCAGCTGTCCTGTCTGAATCTCAGCATGAAAATTCACGGTTAAAGAAATCCTCACAAAATGCATAAAAAACAGTATACAGAAATGTAAGTTATGAATACGTAGAAGTTATACATGATAACCTAGGATGAGGCATGTTCTTCTTTACTAACAAAACCACAAACACTTCCAGAACCTACTGACACCATCAAATTTTTTTATTTGAACAATTCAATTAGAAAATAGGGAAAACATGCAACTATGCAACATAAATCTGTCTATAGTTACTGGAAGTTGTTTTATGTGGATCTTGAAACTAATGATTTGCAAGAATACTGTTATTTATTGTCATAAATAACTAGCTCAGATGATGTAAGGAAAGATAACTGCAACGTTTAACAGTTAACCCTTTCCAATTAAGCACTATAAAAACCCTCTTACTTATACAATCCATGCTAGCTGGTTAATATAATTTGCAGGTTTGAGTTGTTGCTTCTATAGATTTAAGCACAAACTTAAATCCTGTGGTAATCCTTATTTGGCTAAAGTCAAACATATCCTTAAAATCTTGTATAATCAGGTTCTAGGAATGGTTTCAGGTAGTTCTGAAAATTTAGCATGCAGAATACATTTTCCAAAATATTAACAGTAAATATTACTAATATCTCCATATTTTTTAAAACTCCCTCTTCTGGAATCTAATTCGAATATTTAAGCTCATCTTTCAAGGTGCATGATTCAGTATTTATAACATTTGGGGTTACAATACAAGTATCTGGAATTTCTTTAATAACCACAGATTGAAGACTGCAAGAAAATATTAGAAGAATTACTTATGAATCTTGATGAGGTCTATGGTAACTCCTAAGTCCTGAGAAGAACATTTAATGCGTTTGCAATGGTCTCTATCAAACTGCTTTCCCATTCTTTCACAAGCCTCCCCAGCCAGTTGACAATCTGATTGCTGCAGTAGGCTGTCAAAAACTTATCACGATGAGAAAGATTTTCAAATCTATATAGAAATTGGAAGGTTAAAAGGAAAAACTTCAGTCAGACTATGTATTTGGTGGGTATCAGAGTATTAAAATTACTTATTTGCAAATAACTTGTTTTGTTATGTAGGTTGACCATTATGCTTTTCCAGATGGTGTTCTTTCAAGACATTTTGCTTTATTCTTTGATAGAGCAAACAGGATTAATCAAGTCTGAAGTACACAAATGTGTTCATGTCTGAGTCCAATAGGAAAGAGAGCTATATCGTAGCCATCAGCAGACAGAGCTAAGAGCTTCTGGCTGCCAAGGAATGCACCAATGTATCTTTGCACTGTCATAGATTTACAATAAGACAGAAAAATGGTAATAACCACTTGAGGGTTATGGTACTTTGCAGCCAAGGATCTCAAAACAGTAACTTGTTTACAAAGAAAGTGAAATGTTTCGTATGGATATAGGGGTTTTTTCTTCATTTGATATTGATCTGCAATCAATAGTTCCTTAGTGGGGTTTATTTGTGGGTTTATTTTTTTTTGGGGGGGGGGGGTGTCTTCCGATTTTTTCATTCATGATATAGACTGCTTGTCCTAATATTGGCTTTCTTTTTACTGACTTTGACTCTCAGAACTTTTCTCACATTCTTTTTTTTTTTCCCCTTGAGCCCTCTGGCCTTAAAATTAACTATTATTGTATGTTCTTAAATACTTATATAAAGTATAAGTACACAGTGAGACCTTTTCCAACATTTTCTGATGAACTGTCTGCACATGTTTACAAGTATTAAACAGTGAATTTTACTCAAATTTTACTCTTGGCACCATGGAGAATTAAACTGTGAAAACACTACCAACTGATTTGATAAATATATAACCTTCAGTCTACAAGAACTAAAATATAAATGTTACAGTATGAAGATAAATACTGAAACTTGTTACTTTCAGAACTTTAAGAAATAAAACAAAGAAAAGGGAAAAAATAAAGTTATTTATATATTAGGTAGAAAACACTGTCGTTTTCAGAGAGACAAAGGCATGAAAGGGCCTGGACACTCAGTTATATTCTTGCAGAGACAATTCGTCTCCTGAGGTTGGATTTAAGGGATACTGGCAAGGCTGTATGTGTTGTATTATTAACAGTGCTTCTACTGCTTTATGAATTTCATCTACATACTCCCTGAGGACAACAACACAAGCATTTTAAGAAATAATGTTTTAAAGCATATCATTATAACAGATAGATATTACAGAAGATTTTAAGTCCAAATTCTGCCAACACTACTGGACTTCACTAGCAGCTGAATGTCAGGCCATTTTACAGAATGCAGAGATATAAAGATACCTTATATAATCTAAAAATAACTCAAGCAACATGACCAAAAACTTTAAAAATAAATTAATTAAAGTGAACCCAAGGAAGGACTTTCACTTTTTATGCTAAGCATTTTGGTTATTGAAGGCTTCATAATTTTCATATCCATGTGGAATGACATACCTGATCCTGACCCAAAAGTGATTGAAAAGAGGACTGGGAAGAAGGGAGTTGATTTCCAGCTACCTTCAGAATGAGAAAACCATATAATGTGCAATTGAATCATATAAAAAAAGTTTTATCTCAAAACATACTACCCAGACAGATATCCATTTAAAACTCATTATCTGAACAGGATGGAAATCAAGTACATTTCCTTTTTCTTATTAACTAAATACAATACTTCATCATTGTGGCAGATTCCTCATGCCAACCATCTGTCCCAAATAATTATTTTTTCAATCAACAGTATTTGATATGCTCACCTATTAAATTTTACAGAATATAGTCTTTAAGAGATAAAAACTTGTTATCAGTTACCTACAGACAAATAGTAATCATCTGCTGATGAAGGCACGGCACATGGTATACCAGCAGAGGCAGCATTAAGCTGGAAGAGAGCATCTTGTGCTTTCTTTTTTTCTTTTTTTAGCATATTTACCAGAATGTCTGCAAGATATATTAAGGAAATCATTAAGGACCTCTTTCTTATAAAATAACAATCATTTTGTTTATCCCTAAGCCTTTTATTTTAGTTAGTTTACCAAGTGGAACAATTCATATTATGGAAGCCTATATGTTAATGTCATACTCTCATCCACCTTAATTTTCCCAAACAGCAGATTAATTTTTACTAAATGGTAACAAATTCACACATTGACCAGAATTGACATTCAGTCAATGTCTGATAAAAGCATTTACAGGCAAACAGGAATTAAAATTTTAGCATCTTATTGCCATCGTGCGAGATTCCTTTTTTTTAACTTTTTTTTTTTAAACTCTGTGATAAACAGAATTTCCAAATAGAAGAAAAATAACCCTTAACTTACAGATTCCTTTGCAAGTGAATCACATCTACAAGCTTTTCAGAAGGTTTACTAAAATGCAGAACAGGTCTTTAGGAAATTTCTTCCAATAACACTATGTATTTACTGGAAATATATTTGGTATAAATTAATTTTGCCTAACAGTTTATAGAGGGCTTATAATAAAGAATCCTGTGTGCATTCAGCCAAAACCACAGAAGTCCCTGTGATATGATTTTTTCTATGCTATTCATTTGAATCCTAATTAATCTTCTAAATGAACAGTAGAAAATCTAAGTAGTCTTCAGGGACTATTATTAACTGGACTAGGTAGTAACAAGAAAACACTTTGCAATCCAGTTGCTACAAGAGTTATTAGTTACCACAGGCAAGAAGCACCTCACAGCTATTGAGTAAACAGCTTCCATGCTTCCCACTACTTCATCACATTAGACATGTTATTAATTTTCTAATGATGATGTACAGTCACTTAGCAGCTGCAGACTCTGTAAATCAGTGTTGTGTTCAGTCTTAGTTCTTACATTCTTCCTCCATAATTCTAACATGGATTTACACAAGTTTATTGTACTTCTGCAAACAAAGCTGTATATATTTATCAAACGCAAGTGTGTCTGATAGAGATGCTTTGTTTTTCTTAAAAATAACATTAAAATTGAAGATTTTTTTTTTAAAGGAATGATAACTGAGTACTATAGCCAAGGTTATTTGAAAGTGGATCTTGGAAAATGGATGTCAACTTCTGTAACAGAGCAGAAATAGTAAAGTTTTCCTGCCACCTCAATTCAGACTGGGAGCATGCTACTTCCCAGTGTAAAATGCCATTCTCCTTTGACATATGAAAATTGATCCAGAATTGTTGAACACAAAGAATGCACCTGAGTTTGTTTTGTCGTGGTTTAAACCCAGACAGCTCATTCACTCACTCCCCCCCTTCCCCTTTTCCTCCCTATTTCTTTCTTTCCTTCCACCCCTACCCGACTTCCCCGATCCCAGAGGAATGGGGAGGAGAATCGAAAGAATGTAACTCCCACTGGCTGAGATAAGAACAGTCCAGTAACTAAGGTATAACACAAACCACCAATAATAACAATGGTAAGAGAAAATAACAAGGGAAAAGAATACGATACCCCCCACTGAAAACGAGTCCGACCCAGAAGACCCTGTGTCCTTCTGGGTAACTCCCAGTTACCTCCCTGGTCATGGCATGCTGTGGTATGGAATACCACTTTGGTCAATTTGGCTCAGGTGTCCTGTCCCTGCTTCCTCCCAGCTTCCCCTCCTCCCTGGCAGAGCACAAGGCTCAGAAAGTCCTAGGTCAGACCAAAACATCAGTGTTATCAGCTCTGTTCCCAGACCAAAAGTCAAAACACAGCGCTGCACCAGCTACTAAGAAGGAGAAAAATGACTGCTACTGCTAAACCCAGGACATACTAATAACTGTGAAAGAATCTGTTACCTATAAACTCAAAACAAAACCAAAACTATTTTTTCAGTTCTCTGCCATAGTCAAACTTTAGCCACCAAGTAGCCACAAAGTTAGGGACATAGTGATGCTGTAGTCTTCCCACAGTTCTGTCAATCTACTAAAAATTATTCCCACCCATTGCGCAACAGTGCAGTTACTCATGTTTCCTGTGAGGTAGTGAAATGGACATCTGAGCAGTTTGGTATTTTTATATGCAAAAAACTTCAGCTTTAATTTAAATTTTAAAGTTACACATAAAAAATACAAACTTATTATTTGTTATAAAGGAAATAGCCCAATAATCCCCAAAACAGCACTTCATTTGGCTAAAAATAATACTTACAGGAAGTTCTACTCTTTGTAAGGTAATAAATTGGTCTTTATATAGCAACAGTTTCCTATTCTAAGAAATGGTTTAATTTGCTTAGGAGAGTGTTTTAGACGTGGCCCGACCACAGTATTTGGATGTTGGCTGGACCACTCTAAAGCCAAGTGGTGCTTGGATGCAGGATTTTGGTTTGAGTCACAACTGAAATAGAAGCAGGTGCAAAGCAGGAGTCCTGCCACATAAAAGCTGGGAACTGAGTAATTGCTTTAACACAGTGGGGTTAGTAGAGAAAATTTCCTTCCAGCAGCTAATGCCTCTCACACACACACAAAACCCATTGCAGCCAGATCAGCTTAAAACCAATTTTTTTTTTCTTCTTCACAAAGGATACTGATTTCATTGTCTCTTTGCTGTAGAAGTTCTTTCATTTTTTCCAGTTCTTCTGCTTCTTTGTTGGTGTCTTTTTCTTCAGAGGTGTGTTGCGAGAGCCATTTTCTATCAGAAATCTTTGAATGATTCATTAGTTCCTATTAGAAGAAAAAAAAAAAGGACGCTCCTTTAACTTTAGCCCCAGCTACATATTTATGCTTCCCTAAGAGAGTCTAGCTGTGCTAGAAAATGTAAGACTTTCTAGACTCTTGAAAGAACAAAAGCATGCCATGCATTGGCTTACAGTTACATGCACTTTAAGTGCATATATGCACTTGGGACAAGTTGTATTTTTTTTATCTTCACTACAAAAAGTACAATTTACTCTTTCTACATATAAATTCCAGTGTTCTCTGGTATTACAGAACTTTCATTATTAACACTGTAATTAAAACCTAACTATTTAGACAATAAATTAAGATCAGGAATGTGTATGTTATTATATTGGAAAACTATATCCCAAATTACAGAAAAGCTTATCTTCTATTGCTTTTCCTAGTAATTTCGCATGTTTTTTCTAGTTTAAGTGTATTTTGTTTGCTCAGTGATTTAAGAGAGCTTACAACAGTGTCAGGATAGTTAGTGTAACAGATTCAGGGATACGATATTTTTATTCTTAATTTCTCTCTTTAAATATAGTTTGTCCAAAATAAAGCCTCCATAGTGCTGGGAATACATATGAATACACAGAGAGATCCTTGCTGGGGTTTCCACAAAATGCCACTAAATTTTTCCAACTAAATTTCAAATTTCTATCAGTCCTCTCCACATGTCACAGTTCAGTTGTTTTACCCTTTTCCAATGCCTCCCAACTGTATTGTATTACTTGTAATACTTTTCAACCCTGAATGTCTTCAATTTATTTTCAGTGCCAGCTGCGCTTCCATCGAGGTTTAAAAGAAATACCTTCATATGAACAAAGCAATACTTGATCTTGCGCATGTCAGCACCAACATCCAAAGCACTATCAGGATCATTATCTTTAAGAAATGTTCCAATCAACTTATCCAACCTGAAAAATACAAAGAATTTTTAAGGAAAAAAAAAACCACAAACATGCAGACAATTCTGTGCGGTTATGTGTTGAATACAATCCAAGGCTTCCCAGGATGACTCACATTGGTAGGCTATTTTCTTTCAAGGTCCATACAATTTAATACACTTTCGCTCCTGATACTAAAATCTGGATTTGATACTGTATCTTCTACAACTCCACATCAGAACACACTTGCACATGCTAAGGAATACTTCCAGAACTAAAAGCATCTAAGAAGTAATCCTTTCCCCATTTATTTTAAAACCTTCTCTTCTTCTACCGCCCCATAATTTAAAAGATTTAAAGCCTGCCATCTCAGAAAACTAAATATTTAGAGGCTTTGGGAATAGAATTTTTAAATATATATGATTATTCATGCAAAAGAAAAATTGACTTCCTTTTCTATTACAGGAGTCAGCAGATAGAACAGCTTTCATACATAAAATTATCTGCTCCCATCACCAAGCACAGCAACTTATCTTGGAAATCTATAAATATCTGTATCAAAAAAGAGTTAATGCTCTTCTTCTGACTAATGAAATATAGTTAGTGTTTTTTTCTCTTGCAATTTGTTCTTATTTAACAAACATCTCATCTTCCATTAGGGAAAACTAGTTCTTATTTTGGTAATTCAGTCTTCATAAGAAAATCCAGCACTGAAAAGCATCCTCTTGCTTTTTCAAAACCAAAATAAAATATTCAGACTGGATAGCTACACAGGCATAATATACCATGCCTTTGGGCTGGATGTCACAGCTGTGTGGACAGACAGATTTTCTCTTGCACACTCTCACTGCCTTTCTAGTTCTTGCATTCCAAGATGCATGGCAGAGCATCCTCAAGAAAAAAGCCAAAGGATTTCTAAACCGAAACTAGCCCTCAGTCCACTTACTAAAGTACATTTCCGGAAAATAGTAAGTGCAAGTTCAAACTCCATAAACCAGTTACAGATTAAAGGCTTCCTAGTTTGTGACAAATTTTATAACCATAATTCTATGATTTTAAATGTTTATTTAGAATATTACCCTCTGAAGATTACATAAGGTTCTGAACCTGAGTGAGCCAAGCTATCTACAGTGCCTGCATCAAGTACCTAACCACCTGAGAAGGGTAGGAGTTCAGGACCATCTCTGTGCCTAGTGTTTCTTTTGGACTAGTTGAGTTGCTCAATTAATACACAAGCCTTCCGAATGTCATGTAATAGTTGTTTATCTGCTTCAGTAACAGGATTGGGAATCTTGTGGCCATTTGATTATCTTAAACACTTTGCTTTAACCACATAGAGAAAATTCAGGCATTATAATTATCTAAAGTTGACCCTGAAGTAGGTGATTGGGATATTGCCATGCTTTGTAAGACTTCAATTATTAAGATTCCTCACATAACTATATACTGTAGTAACAATTCCCTGCTGGAGAGTAAAACAATGAGACACACAGCAAACAAACAAACAAAAAATAAAAAAAAGAAAATAATTATTTTCAGGTGATAAATATCTGAAAATCAGTAGCTTTAAGACCAGAATAAAAATTAGAAAGCATAACAAAGAGTTTCGGTTATTCATCTCCTCCAGAATTCACCATGGTGAACTGTCAATTCTCAAAGCAGGAGGAAAAGATGAGAAAAACAGAGAGAAACTTTCAGTTAGTTTCAGGTAAACTATATTTTCCCATTTTCATTATTTCAGTCAATGGACAAGAGATATTCTGTCTATACCATCCCTTATATGTGCAAAATTCACAACTTCTGAATTTATAGAACACTCCCTGAGGTCAATGTGAGCTGTACATGTGGAAGTCTTAAAGAGAAGACAGTTAAAGAAAAATATTAGTTACAGAGGAATTAACTGGCATTGACTTGTTTCTCGAGTTAAGAGACTAAAAATTACTGGGTAAAATAGACCAAAATTTTACATATTGCTCCATGATTTTTTCTGCATGAAGAATCCGCCAGAACAGAGGCCAAGATTAGATAAGAGATTATTCATACTTTCTGCAGACACACTAAGCACAATGAGCAGGAGAATTAATCCTTTATATGTGGAGGTAAGCATTTGTATAAGCATTGGGAAGAGAGAGGCATTAATACTACTAATGAGAATGTAATACAAATGTGATACAAACACAGGGAAAGTCAGTATTTGTCATTGTGTTAAGCATCTTATTAATTTCAGTATGAGGAAAGAAGTAAAAAAAAAAAAAAGTTTTTATAACAAGACTGTCTAGAACGAATACATGAAATCATTAATAAAAATGGACCTTGAATCTTGAAATAGAAAATAGATGGGAGATATTTTAACCTTACCTTGTTTTCCAGAGTTTTACCCATACCCAGATTATGACCAATTTAGGCTATGGGAATCAATCAAAAAAATTACACTAACTTGCACTATTACCATTACCAGAGTAACACCAAGCAAAGTCAAAATATTTCAGGAGAAGAAAAAAAATAATACAATTCTTGTAAAATAATGCTCTATTTTTTTTCAAAATTATTATCATACCAGTAAAGAGTCACGGTTAATTTGTTAAGAATAACAAATTAGACAAGCTGTAGCTATTGATATGAGCTCTTACATTACTTTTAATGTATTTGGCATTCTTGAAAAAAACACAACAGCTCAATTCATTTTTTTTATTCCAAAGGACTACATAGAAGCCAAAAGATATTTGAGCACTAGAAGACTGAGTCAAGTCTCAAATAGCAGAATGTAAATCAGAAATTATAACCAATTCAGCCTCCTTGCCAATTGTAGCAGAATCTTCAGTGTATTTTTTGATAAATTTGTAAAATTTCACCTTTAAGAATTAGAACAAAAATAGACCAATCAAGTCTAAACACTATGAACAAGACCAAAATAAAGAATAAAAAAAGAGCAACAATGATAACCCTCATGCATACCAGCAAAAGAAATCACTGCATCCCTCACATTTTTTTAGGTTTCTGTGTAAAAATTACCAGAACTCTTCTAAAATAAACATAGTCTGACAACACTCTGGATATTCTGGGATTCTTCCAGTATACTGAAGTATTAAACAAAGGTAAAAAATGAACTGACAATATGATACAGATGAAACTTGAAATTTCTCTTCTCAATAAACAGACCTTAGTTAACCATTATTTTTCAAGTGATTTATAGAATCATAGAACCATAGAATGGTTTCAGTTGGAAGGACCTTAAAGCTCATCTAGTTCCAACCCCTGGCACGAGCAGGGACACCCTCCCATAGACCAGGTTGCTCTAAGCCCCATCCAACATGCTCTCAAACACTGCCAGGGATGGTGCAGACAGAGCTTCTCTGGGCAACCTCTTCCAGTGTCTCACCAACCTTACAGTAAAGAAATTCTTCTTAATATCTAATCTAAGTCTACCCTCTTTCAGCTTAAAGCCATTCCCCCATGTCTGTCACTCACTACATGTCCTTGTCAAAAGTCCTCTCTAGATTTCTTGTAGGCCCCCTTTAGGCCCTGGAAGCTGCTCTAAGGTCTCCCCAGAGCCTTCTCTTCTCCAGGCTGAACAAGCCCAACTCTCTCAGGATGTCTTCATAGGAGAGGTGCTCCAGCCCTCTGACCATTTATACAGTAGTTAGATTTGCAGTTTTACAACTGGAAAAAAAACAACGCTAATTCCAGTCCATTTCCAGAGATGTTCACACAATAAAGGAGACTATAAACAATCGTGGGAGAAGGGTTAAAAAAAAAAGACTCACTGGAGCAGAAACCTGAATAAAGAGATGGTCTCCATAGCATCACTTGAAGATCCACACCAGGAATTCTATTTCACACTGAAGACACCTTAAAAAAATACTCAGCCTCAGTCTTCTCACTGCTCAGCTTAGAAAGGGGAATTGCACTCAGCTTGATGGGAAAAAGTAATGATGGAGACTGTTAATTAACTGAAATTCAATGAAATTATGTGGTTAGCTGCAAACAGAATTGAAAATATCTGAATTTTCCAGTGGAAATATGCAGCATGTACCTTAATTTTTAAATTCGGTACCCATTTAAAGTAAGATGGTCAATTTAAACTCTAAATTTGAGGTATTTTTGTTATACTGGTCAGTTACATCAGAAAAGGCTAAATTGATCTGAAATAGAAGTATCTAACCACAAGATACTTGCACTGAAAGTTCTAAACTAACATAAAAGCAGCTCTAAAAGTGTATTTTATAACTGCTAAAAATCTATTTCTGTGTAGAAACAAGTATTAAACTAATAGTATTTTACTTGTTGTAGTTAATAGCATTAGCAAGCCAGCTAATGCATTCTTCATTACTTCCAGCATACTAAGGCGTCCAATAACATTTCCATGCAGAACTTGTGCTAATCAAATTTGGAGCATGGATAATCATAGGTAATTTCACATGACAGAAAAAAAAGTACTTAAAATCAGATGAAGATGTCTCTTCTAATTTCTGGGTAACTAAAATAGTTCCCTATTTTTTCCTTTTCTCTTGTATATTGGTTAGGTAAAGGAAGTTATAGGCCATTGAATATTTATTATTAATTTTATTAAAGTAGATGAAGCTTAAAAAGGGGATTTTTCATACACCTCTATTCTTCCTTTTAGAACTGTGAGGTTCTGCTCTAGGGACAGCAGGCCTAATTTATACTATTAAGATCAAGGGTGTGCTAAAGCCTATTGCCAGAACCCTGCTGTATCAGGAAAAATAGTTTTCCCAACAGAAATTGCCCAAAGGAGGAAGAATATGGAAGTATCAAGCTAAGACCCATTTTCTGTGGAAAACAGCAGTAAACAGAGTTTTCTTTCTCAGTTCTCATCAGAAAACTCCCAAAACAACCAGAAAACATGAGTGAAAAATTTCACAAACACAAAAAAATTTCTAAGTGAATGCCTAGGGGGCAGTATCAAGTCATTCATGAGTTTAATTTAAAACTCATTTTGATAGTGGTATTTTATATGTTAACCTAGTACAAAAAGAAAGGTATGACAGTGCTGATCCAGGTGAGTTTGA